AAAATATAGCACAAGAACTCCATCACCAGAATCATTTCCTAAAGGGATGCTCTTCAAAGTTCTAAGAGAGTTTGGGGTCACCAAGATATTAGCCTAGACTACCACCAAAGTAAACTTACTAATTACATACAAACAAAGGTTTGTGATCAATGAGGCATTAACCAAAGCCATTACACCAAGCAAACATCAAAATAGGGGGGAACTAGTATGGCCTTTAAAATAGACCATGATTAATCTCAACCATTAGATCATAGACATTTCATCTTTGTTAAATTGATCCTAGCACAATGAGAGTCAAATAGGAAGATGGTCCTCCAAGCTCCCATGCACTCAATCACATCAAGATTCATGTTGAACCATTAATCAACCTTGATCAAGCACATCAAGAGTCTTGCATAAATTTGACCATCTAATTTAGATCACCATCTGTATCAATCTAGGAGGCATCAATACAAATTCAGTCTCTTATTCAAATCTCCATCATGATTAATCGCTTATTCTTAAGACCTTCATTGATCATTCCATTATCACTAAGGACATAATAGTTAGATACAAATCTCAAAGGTGATGTAGTTTGGTTTTCTATCCTTAGATCAATCGAAGGTGACCTGATTTATCTATCCATTGTCTGCTTCTCCAAAAAACTAAAACACTTATCCAAATGCTTATAAAAATTCTCTAAGGATTAAAGTAAGGGGCTCTAATTCTAACTTTCCCTCTCTCATCCTCTCTTATCATTCTTCGGGTGAAACTCTCTTGAGTTAATGTTAGTTGTTATTCACCTTCAAACTCAATCAGTAACTTTAGCAACTAAGGGTTTTCCCAAGAACAAGACCCTTAATTCAACTGATTATAAGCAGGCGCGCATAGTCTATCACCATTGAAGATTGTTTCCAGCATGCAAAATGTTATATATGAAAATATAATGTCGATCTACCAATTTTTATAATTATGCTAACTCGTGCATTACATGAAAAATGAAGTAAAATAATAGGGTTTCATTAGAAAATATTTCTCAATTCCTTAGCTTTGAAAAAATTTGGTATATCATAATTTTGATTTGTAAGGGCAACTTGCGAAAGAAAATGAAGTACAATGCATGCTGCTCTAAAATATGTGGGCAACACACCATTGTAGATTAACTTATTCATTTCTATTAGAGCATCGATATATATATATATATATAT